TGGCGGATTATAGAAAGTGAAGCATAGCGGTAAAGAGTGAAAAACCCATCATTCTTAGGCCACAAACGTTATTACATCTTTCAAATATATCTAACCTTATAAAAGAAAACAATTTTAATTCTATTTGGCGGATTATAGAAATTGAAATTGCCTTTAGCAAGGGAAGATAACAGATGAAATTGGAAAGAATTCATTTGCTTTTCCCAATGTACACAGATCAATCAATGAGGAATCTTAGTGTGCTAATAGAAAGGAACCGCAATTCGCGGCGGCGGCGGCTTCGGCGGTTTCTCCACTTTTACCTCGACCATCTCCGGGCGTGGCGGCTCCCTGGGGCACGGCATCGCAATGAACTTGGGAATGGAATCCCCGGGCATCATCACCGATAAGCTGTCTCTCTGATTCTTCTCCAAATCCTGCTCCAGAGAAAAAAAGATTAATTGATGGTTTGTGCAATCAAAACTGGAAAAAAGAAAGGGAAGAAAAGAAAGAGGCACGAACTTACGAGAGAAGTAGGGGTAAATTTGGAGGGAGAGGTAGGGTTAAATTGGGAAGCGGAGCGGCGGAGGGATCTGAGTTTGTCCCAGTGATAGCAGCAGGAGAAGATTCCGCTCAAGGTGAAGATAACGAGGAGGAGGAGAGCAGTGCCGAGAGGAAAGGCTAAGGAGGGTCTGGATGCGTCGGCGTGAGGCGGTGAGAAATCGGGGCTCTCCATGTGGAATGTGTCATGTGTTGGGAGAAGGAATCAGGAATGGGAAAATGGGGAAGGAAGGAAGAGAAGGAAGAGAAGAAACGAGGAGGAATGAGAAAAGAGGAGGCGCATTTGGGGGATTTATAATGGAAAACAGAGGAAGAAGAAAAGTAGTGTGTACAATGGAAAAGGTACAGGTGAGTACGGAAAATGAAATGATATGGAGCCCAGCTGCGTGTTGGGTGCGTCTCTGCCGCTCTTTGCACTCACCAATAAAGAAAACAAAAGAAAAAGGAAGTCTGCTTTGTCTTCTTCTGATTCGTTTTTTGTTTTCTCGGGTGTGTCCAGATTGAATGTGATAAACTGTAAGCATAATTGACGGAGAGTGGTAGAATAGAGTTAAATGCGTAACCGAGGAAAAGACAGCTAAAGAGAGTGAGATATGGCGTGTGGAATTGGGATGCCAGGGAAGTGGCGTGACTGCCGTCCATTTGGGCTACCCTTGTTTAAAGTTGAAGTGCTCGGGAGTCTCCTCGCATCTCGATTCAGGGATCGGGAAGCGGCAAGATGTGTAGATATGATAGAGTGGGAAGTGGGTGGGGGAGAAAGTGAAGAAAAGGCAAATGGGCCACGCTCAGGTGGGGGAAGCCCAAGGGAACAACGGCCGCCACTCTCGGTTGCCTGCCTCCCAATCGCTGCCACCAACTTCACCCACTCCCCCTTTCTCTTTTTAACATTTTCCGCACACTACCCACTCTAAGATCATTCGCATCTCCCACTCTTGCTTTTCATTTCATTCAAAAATATCTCCCCTACGGATAAAAAGTTATGAACTCCCGATCTTTCCTCACTTTTTGTCATTTTACTCTTGCCATTTTTAAGATTTGAACCAACTAAATTCAAGCAACCATGATGGTTTCTTAATTTGAACTCCAATTTTTACAAATGGCACATCGTTTTCGTCTCCGATTATAAATATTCAGAGATTTTTCAGGCCATACAAGTAGAAAAGAAAATGACAGAAATTGCTCTAAAAATTGATGAAAAAGAGGCGGTGGCGGCACTGAATGGGACAGGCATGCAACGGGAGAGACGCGACGATGAGGACTTTATTGAACGACCTGCTTGTTTCCTCGAGATGTGGGAAAGAAATGGACCGCGGCCCAGGCTCATCCAGAAATATGATGTTCTCGTCTTCTTCGGGCTTCGGGCTCCTTGGCAATGGGCAATTTAGGGGTCGGCCCAGCTATTTTTTCAGTCGTTATATATTTCTTTGACCATTTTTTGTTGCCTCTGTATGTATGGCACACACAGACAAACCCACATCCGTGTAATCATCAATACATTCTGGTCCTCAGTAAATGCAGTTTTATTACACACATGTTTTCTTTCCAGTTTTCAAGGTTTCATCTTATATAATCCAAATATAGATTGCAGCTTCAAAGCAAACTTAGGAGGATTGTAATGCTCCAAAAATTGAAGGCATACAGACAGCATAGGGCATAGGGGGAGGACTTTTGGGTTGGGAGGTGGAGGCAGTGAATTAGAGAGTGCTCTCAGATTTGGTCAAGATATGGGGCTTAGGAACAATGAACATACCAGAATTTTTGAACTCAAAAAAGGCTCACATGGATTTAATAATCAAAATCTACTTAAATTCTGGTTTGCCATATGCCTTTTTTTCTTTTCTTTTCCTTTTTATAAAATAAATTTAATTATTAAAAGAAGAAAAAGTGGAAAGAATGGGGTATCAAATCCAATTGGATTAATATATAATTAAGTGTAATTAGTGTTGAGATGATTAATAGTTAGGAGAACGGGATAGGTTCATTCCCTTTGCAATTTGCATCTCTCTGCTCCACCCTTTACACCTTGGTGGATGCAAATCGTATTTATCAGGAAACACATCAAATCATTGTTTTCTCTTTTTCTTTACTTATTTAATTTGCTTTTATTCATTGAGAAATTTAAGTTCGTATCATTCTTTATGCACCATTCTTCCCATTTTGTTTACATCTATCTTTTCTATTTTATATTCATTTCTTAATTTTCAAGTTTACTCAACTGTACCAACATTACATTTTAGTTTTTTAAAATTAAATTAAAGTAGAAAGTTTTAAAATGTAATATGACAAATTCCCATCAATCATGCGCGGCCCCAGTCCATGTTCACTCCAAATAATGGTACTCCTGCTCCTCCTACGGTAGAGATATATGGATGATTTGTTGTCCCTTATATCAAGCTCATGCTCTCGACTTAGACATGTTAGTATAGTTTTTTAGTGTTGAACAAAAAAAGAGTTGCAAGTTTCATAAAAGTATAGTCATGATGAAGATTCGCAGTTGAATTTCATTGAACAAGAGGCGTGCTCGAGAGGAGAGGAGCAAGTTTGCTTGATAACTTATTTGTTGAAAAAATCATTGACTAATACAGAATGATCATTAATATTGTGACACCCAAGTAAATAATGGTAGATGAAAGAACATAGTCATTTTTTTTTTAAGCCTTTTCTCAATATTTCTATTCCCCATATCTATAATAAAATAAAATAAATCTGTTTTTGAGACATAAATGAAAGAACCAGTGGGGTGGGGACCATTTTTCTTTCTCGTCACAATGATCTGATAGCACAGTTCTTTTAAGTATTTATTTATATTCAATATTATAACGTTATCTAAAAATTTAGATATTTTTTATTATATAAAAAATCATATATTGGGAAAGAAACAAAATTGGTTGTCATTTACAAGGTTCAAAATATATTTATTTTGAACTATTTAGATTTATTACAATAATATAATTTGTTTAAAAATAAAAAACAAATAATTGTGGATGAATATTACCTCACTGCCACCCGTACATAAATTATCTTGTGAATGCATGGATTAAAAGTTGAATGATGAGAGGGAGAGCTTGGAATTACAATTTTCCCATGCCACGTCATTCATCTTCCCAGCCGGTAGCCGGTGGCGTCTTTGGAAAACATAATCAAACCGGGAGGTGAGGATCCACACACGAGCCTTACCCATCAAACCCCATTTCCCAATATTCACACAAAACCCTAATTATTCACCACTAATTGCCTTTATTATTTACTTTTTTACCTTCCGTCCCGTTCCTAGTGGGTCCTGGGTATTTATTTTACTGAACTCCGTAACTCATTAAGATCCACGGCTGTGATTTCATCTCCACAATCTACCAATTATCGCCCCCAAAAATTAAATAAAAAAGAAAAAAGTAAGGTATTAGAGGGGTTTTGCTGCCAATAATGCGACAGCAATAAGTACTCCATGTTACCCACACAAACCTTAATCAAATCCCTTTCTTTCTTTCTCTTTACTCATTAATTTTTATGCATTTTTTATAAAGTCTAATTAATCAATTAAATTCATATAATTCACCATGAATAAATTATAGGATAGTAATTTTAATTTAATTTTGAAATTCTAGGTCTACTAATAATGGTGGGTTTTTTAAAACAATCCTTGTCACATTTAATGCATCACCCAAGTTTGCTCTACCCCATAACTGAAGCCTCCAGAAATATCTTTTTTTAATTATTACTGTAATTGTGTGTGTGTGTCTGTTATAATAAAATAATATATCGGAAAGTGGCTTGAAAATCGAGATATTTTCTTTGGTAAAGATTGTAGATCTCTATCAACTCATTTTAAATAAAATAAAAACTGCGGGTTTTGGGTTTAATAATAATAAGTCAAATTTGAAAAAAAAAAAAAAAAGAACACATCTCTCTCATTGTAATTTTATAATTATTGAGCATTGGAGTTTGGAAAGCATGTGAATTTGGTCCCATGAGTGAAGTGAAGATGAAGACCCCCCCCCCCCCCCCCCCCCCCCCCCCCCCCCCCCCCCCCCCCCCCCCCCCCCCCCCCCCCCCCCCCCCCCCCCCCCCCCCCCCCCCCCCCCCTTCACTCTAAAAAAGAAACATAAGGAAAAGAAAATCTGGAAGATTTTATTAAATTAATGAAATTGTAGAATTAAATTTGGACAGGATCAGAAGGATCCCAGTGTGCAGTTTGTGGGTGAGGTGCAGAGCGGTTCAGTGAGTGGCAGACTCACAGCCCCTCGCCCTATATCGTCTTTTTTCTAATGGATTTAAATAATATAATGATAATGGCCCAAATTAAAGATGGAAAAGATGAAACGGACACGTGCCATTTTGTTGGGAAGTAAGTTAGGGTCAGAAGAAGGAACTGACCGCGTTGACATGTCATATTAGGCGGCAACCTCCAGTTGGCAGTCGCCCTCACCAGCCGAGTTAACCCCAGAATTCTTACCCCATTCCCACCCCCCATCCCTATCTGCCATTCTGATTCATTATTATTCCCGAGAAGGGAAAGGCTCTTCTTTTTTTTCTCTTTTATCTCTTCTCACACACACACACACACACACACGCAGACGCAGACAGAGACAGAGTTTCCATTCGGAAGCAACAGTGTGGCCTTTTCATTGCATTCCTTTATCAAATCTTTTGGGCTTCCCATCATCTCCTCTTCCTCCCTTCATATCCTCTCCCCCATTTGTTCCATGTTATCCATTTTCCTCACCTTTTGCTTTTGTTGAGAACATTCAGATTCGTATTCAGATTCAGAAGACAATGACGGGGTGGAGAAGAGCGTTTTGCGCATCCATTCCTAAACATGATACAGACTCCAACCGGATTGCCAATGAAGCCCAAAGCCCCCGAATCAGCTCTAAATTCGGCTTTTTCTCTAACCCATCAACGCCTCGCCCCGACAACCCTGGCCTTGGTCTCCGATGTCGAACCTCGGTTGCCACTGTTCCTACCACACCTTCTTCATCCACTCCCAATAGCCCAAAGCTGATGACCCAAAACAAAACCACTGCCTCCAGATTGTTCTCCCATTTCTCCAATCCTTCTTCTCCCAAATCCCCTTCCACTTTCTCCCTCCTCAGAACCGGCTTACGAATCTCTAAGGTAACCAAGTCTTTTCTTTTCTTTGTTTTTTTTTTCCAATTACCCATCATTTTAACTCCACTTCCCTCCTTTCACTTTGCAGAGTAAGTGTGGAATCTGCTTACAAAGCGTTAGAAGAGGACAAGGAACCGCTATTTTCACATCAGAATGCTCGCACTCCTTTCACTTTCCTTGCATCTCTGCCCACATCAAGAAGCATCGGATTGTGGCCTGTCCTGTTTGTAGCTCCGTCTGGAACGAAGCTCCGTTGCTCGATGCTCTAACTCCTCTTAACCAACCGATCCAGACGGATAAGACGAGAGGTGTAGAATCCATCGAACTCAAATCGAAGACGCTCAAAGTTTATAACGATGACGAGCCTTTGATGTCCCCAACTTCCCGTGCTCGTTTCAATCCCATACCGGAATCCGACGAAAACGAAGACGATGATGAACAGGATGGCGCAGTCGAGTTTCAAGGTTTCTTTGCTACATCTGCACCATTAGCCTCTCCCAAATTACCCAACATTGTGAAAAATGTTGAAGTAAGTCTATTGCCTGAGGCTGCGGTGGTCGCAGCCGGTCGCAACTACGAGACCCATGCGGTGGTATTGAAGGTCAAGGCTCCGGCTCGATCTGCAAGGACGTCTTCATCGCCGACGAATCGGAACCTTCGTCCTCCAATCGATTTGATAACTGTCTTGGATGTGAGTGCGAGCGCGAATAGCGCCAAACTCCAGATGGTGAAACGCACTATGCGATTAGTCATTTCTTCGCTCTGTTGCACAGACCGCCTCTCGATTGTGGCCTTCTCCGCCAGTTCCAAGCGACTGTTGTCTCTGCGGAGAATGACCTCCAATGGCCGCCGATCGGCGCGTAGAATCGTCGATTTGCTCTGCGAAGTTGGTCAAGGAGCGTGCATTAACGACGCCATAAAGAAGGCAGCTAAGGTTCTCGAAGATCGGCGGGAGAGAAATTCCGCCGCTAGTATCATCCTCATTTCCGACGGTCTCGATGACCGCGTTGGAGCTTCTTACTTCAGCAACTGCAAGCGATCGTCTCCAGTTGTGTGCTCCACGCGCTTCCCCCACCAGGAGATTCCCGTTCACGTCGTCTCCTTCGGCGATGGCCCTGCGCCGCCGGAAGACGCGCTGGCCAAATGTGTTAGCGGCTTGTTGAGCGTGGTAGTTCAGGATCTCAGACTCCAACTCGGGTTCGTATCTGGTTCAAGCACGGCCGAGATCGCTGCGGTCTATTCACTTTCTGCTCGCCCGATAGCCCTCGAACCCGGTTCGATCCGGATCGGCGATCTCTCTTCTGAAGAAATCCGAGAAATGCTATTGGAATTGAAAGTGCCAGTTTCGTCGATCGGGACCCACCCGATATTGTCCGTACGATCCATTTTCAGGGACACGTCATCGCCATCGCATGGGCTTATTTGTTCTAAACAACATGCATTGCCAGTACCCAGGCCGCGGGCCGTCCGATCGTCCGGTTCGAACATCGAACGGCTGAGGAACCTTCACGTCACAATCCGAGCTGTAGCCGAGTCGCAGCGGTTGATGGAACACAATGATTTCTCGGCAGCTCAACACTTGGTGTCATCGGCTCGAGCCCTGCTGCTGAAACAATCCGCTTCCTCATCGGCTAGCGAGTACATAAAAGGCTTAGATGACGAGTCAGCTGCGCTGAGCCGACGGAAACAGCAGCAGAGACAAAGCCAAAGACAGAACAACATCACGGCAGAACGAGAGGTAAGGCGAGTAGACGAAAAGCTTGAACAGGTAACGCCGACATCGGCTTGGCGAGCCGCGGAAAGACTGGCTAAGGTGGCAATTATGAGGAAGTCGATGAATAGAGTCAGCGATTTGCACGGCTTCGAAGATGCCAGATTTTAATTCAAATTTAATAAATATAAAAAAAAAAATAATAAATCATTCTTGAAAAAAGAAATAATAAAAAAGGAAAAAAAGTTATGATTGGACTGATGGAATGGGCCCGAGCCTAGAATATGGACAAAGAGGAAGAAGACGGCTAGGCCCTTTTCCTTTTCTATTTTGTTTTTTGTTTTTTCGTTTTTATTTTTGGGCGTTGGCAGAGGAAAGGAACAGTTTGGTGGCCCAACAAGGAAAGAGATTGGAAGAGGAACAGTTTGGTGGTTTGTCTGGATGGAATCACTTTCCAGAAATTGCATTATTTTTGAAATTGAAGTATCCAAACTTAGGCGGGCAGGCACAGCCCCATCTCTCTTTGTTTTTTCCTCCTTTCAACATGCTCTTCTTTTTCTCTCTCTGAGTTTTGTACAAATTTGAAGATATAATATATATAGCTCTGTTATCATGGAATCAATTCCGAACGTGTCCAGTTTTGTACGTTTGTTTGTATGTATGAGCTGTTCTTTTATGTTCCAAGTGATTTTGTTTGCTAGAAATTGGGAGAGCTACCCTTTTGCTCTGCTTTTAGAATGATTTAAACAAATCAATTAATCAGTATGGTATTTCTTTTCGGAGGATTTAAGAATTTGGGACAGGATGGAGGGAAGTCATGTGGGTGGCTTCTCTATGCGAAGGGGTTTATATTTAATGAAAAGTGTATTTAGTCATAATGAAGGAAGGCATTTAATTAGAGTATACATTTGGGTGTTGTGGTTGATATGATATTGTTGTCGAAAGGAGGGGTATGAATTGTTAGATATTTGGATATGAATATCTCCGCCGCCCTCACCACCACATTCGGCGCACTACCATTTCTTTAGTCTGTCAAAGGTCAAATAAAAGAAAAAGATAGTGGAAAAAGGAACACTCTGGATAACCTCAAACATCATCAATAGACAGAAAAAAAGAGAGTGAGTGAAGGTAGATGGTGAAAGTGCCGGTGGATCGTTGTTTCTTTTTCTCCAAAAGCAAAAGGTCAAAGTTTTAGTGAATCAGTAGGTCCAGAGGAAAGTTTTGATCTTATAGTTATAATAACCCCACAAAAATTTCCCTTGTGGTAGTAAGTAGAGATTCCCTGGAAGATGCAGCTACCACCACCTACCCCAAATCAAATCGCGAAGCTCGAGATTTGGATTTTGATCTTCGAATACAACTAACAATCCTGTGACAGTGGGTCTATCTATGACTTCAACACCTACATTTCAAATATTGAGGGTATGAATATATGTCGGTGACAACCGTGGATACATTCCTCGTACTATTATAGCATTGGAAATGCCTAAATGGTTGTAGAGATATTTTCACTCCACCCTCAAAAACTCCCATTTCCATGTCTAAACAAATCACAATTCAGGGAAGAAGGGATCAGCCACCACAAAATTCAAACACGTCAGTGCAAGAAAGAAGTGCCTTTTCAATGTCCCTTCAAGGGCTAAAAAAGGCCAGAAGGTAAGAAAAGGTTTGGGATGAGAGTGGAGGCTTTTCTAAGCTTTCATTTTTAGAGGGTTTCTTTACTGCGCGCCTTTTGAAGAGCTAAAGACCTCCTTAATTTGCGCAGACTTTTGGAACCAATTATGATGAGTGGTTTAAGCTCCGTATTATTTAGCTTTACTTTAGTTTTGATAGTGTATTGGTTGAAGGAGCATGAATCATGTCTATGACTATATTCTAATAATAAAGTAGTGTATGTGGGTATCAGCAGCCCCCCTAGTGCTTACTGCCCATTCTATTTATTCAATAAAAAATGGTGAAGGTGGTGCATGATCATCATAAACCCTATGTCTGTGTGGGCAGCAAGGTCTCCATAATGAGCGACAAAAGACTTGAGGAGGAGGTGCAAAAGTTAGTAATCAAGGGGTAAGTCTTTATCCTTTCTTTCAAATATTCTTGCGTCCTCAATAGTATGACACACGAATCATTTTGTGCAGAATATACAAATAGTAAGGGAAGTAAGTAAAATCATTGGATATAGATCTTAAAGAAATGTATGAACTATACAACATGCACGGGTAAGAATGAGTTTGACGTAACTTTAAAAACAGTAACAGTGATAGTTAGAACTTAGAAGTCAGTGAGGAAGACTTGGGATAATTGAAAACAAAATAAATTACAAGAAGAAACATTTAATTAGTGCTTTCTTCCAAAGTTCTGAATTCTGATAAAATAATAATAATAATAATTCACTTAAAAGTACTACTTTTGAAAGTTATTGTGAACTAACCTTCAGTATTCTTCTCGGATGTGTTCTGATGTAGCTTGTCACTGATTGGAATAGTTGGGTGACAGGATGCATGGATCTGTATTGGCCTAACATTAAATTCCCCATCTCCATCGTCAAGGCCTAATGGCGATGAAATTAGGCCCATCGCCAAATCCGTACCTGAAAGAAGGCCACAAAAACCTAATCACCCATGAGCTGGTAGATTTCTGTTTCAATTGACAAAATCTAAGTAATTTAATATTGGGGCTCACATTTCCATGATCTCAGTTATACTTTTGTTGGAAAAAGAGAAAAAAAAAAAAAAGGAAGAAACTATATTTATTTAGTAAGAGGTGAGCTCCAGAAGCAACCATCGGACACTCCCTTGCTGTAAATCTACCAAGCCTTGAGAGATGTCTGTCGAGTAACTTGCTCTACATTCCAACACGTAGGAAAAATATGTATTTACAAAAAAAAAAAAAAAAATACAGGTTCAGTTGAAGAGAGGAATGAAACATTAACCGACCCTTTTGTGTAAGCGTCAAAAGTACAATGGCCTACACCGAGTAGAATCAATGTCTGTTGGACAATATGGGCACTTAAACGATTTTGTGCTGTTTTTAGACATCTTGATGATAGACTGCTTGCAGAGGACGTGGCCACACAGCATCAACATTGGTGGATTTTCTTCGGTTGACTGTTCCTTCGATACTGGACAAACAAAGATGGAATGGAACTGAAATTCTCTATCCAACTCGACGGGCACAGGCAACTGCTTCGTAGATTGCCATTCATGTTTTTTCCCCGCCATGACATTCATAAACTTGAGGAGGAGAGGCAATCCCTGTACCCCTGCTGCAACCACTACACCCAATGGGCTCTCGTAGGACTGACCAAGAAAATTGCAGTACTGTCTTATAAGCTCTTCAGCAATTTTATCCCAATTGGCTACTGACATTAATTGTGATTGGGAGTATGGGGAGCAATCAAGCCTTCCTGTCCATAGTAGGCAAGCCATAAGCTTCTGAAGTTCAGCCATGTGGTTGGATGCAAGAGGAGCCAGGTACGTCCTAGCATACTTCAAAGCGTCATGTCTATCGCCCTTCTGTAGAATCCCCATGAACTGCATGGTATGAAGTTTTAGCAGAATATCCGACCCACATTCTTTAAGTTTATTTGAGCTATTCAGAGCCCAGTTCATAGCTGGCTCTAGATTCCGGGACTTCATTGCTTCAAGGATCTGATACAGTTCCTGAAATGGAGACCTCAATGAGGCAGAAGATTCTGACTGGCCAGCCTCACTAATAAAGCAGTCACCAAGTTCAAACATACCCTGGCAATAGAAATGACGAGCAATAATATGGTCAACAGTATGCCTATCAAAGTCAACGTTTCTATAAGCTTTTGATATATCTGGATTGAAAGATTTCTCCACAAGCTTAGGATACTTGGTTCGGGCAGCATTCAACTCCTTTTGTGTGCTTTCAAGCTGAGCGAGTGGGGCAATATCTTTTAATTTAGTTTTGAGTTCAGCAAAAACTGAATTCAAATCAATTGGACATTCAGGATTATCAGCAAACTGTATTTTGTGTAGCACCTGCTCCATCTCCAGATGGATTTGATCAACTACTTCTTGACTTTTGGAAGAAGATAATTTCTGCTTCTTCATCACACGATCAAATGCATCTTTAATGCTATTCAACTCCATTTCTTAGTCTAATACCTGCAAAGAAACTCGGATTATCAAACAAGTTTGTTCAATAACAAGCAGATAATTGTTACCAAAAAAATGGAATGGAGGGATATCAAGGTGCCAAGAAACCCAAAGACAAAAATGCAAAGAAATACTAAAGGAGAGGAAAGAGGCAGGAGGTAAAAGAAAGATACAAAAGTATACCATTAATTTATTACGAAGTTCTACTAAGGAAAGAAAATGTCCGAGTACTCTTAAAGTGAACTCATTTACCTACTTTATAGCAGAAATCCTAAAAGATAATAGCGGGAGAAGATCCCGAAGATAGTAATAGACCAAAATGTTTTCATAGCTTTAGTTCCTCCATTTATTTATATTCACCCTAGTATTAAAATTCAGACATGAGAGTGGAGATTCCAACGAACTACCTTTGAGGATGCCTTAACAGTTGGCTTTGGCTCAAGTTGCCACTTTAATAGATCGATGAGTTCCCAAGACATAAAAATTCAGCAAAATGTAAGTACTAATTGAACAAAAAGTAAGTAATGAACCCAGACATACAGGTCACTAGTCGTGAAGATCAAATCTAAATATAAAGCGCTGACAGAGCTCAAATATTTCAAGTCTTTCGCTTTGCCACTTCCTTAGGATTATAGCTACAAAATCACATTTAAACATCTAAAAATTAAAACTTATCATCACTGTCCCACTCAAATTATCCACACCATTCAACTTATTGCCCACTAAATCTTCCTCTTGGATCTCATCTCCAATTTTCTCCGCATCTAATGCAGAGGAAGAGCATCGAGTAAGAAGCTCAAATGAAGAAGATGAACTAACAGTATTTTGTTTTCCTTTCCTTGATCTGATTTAACCCTAGTTAATAACAAATGTTGTACTAAAGCAATAATAGTGGGCTCAAGATATGAGGCACCGCATCTACAGCTAGGTTCAAAAGCACGTTTACACACATGTTGCCTTGGTGTTATAAAATAGTGATCACAAGAATTCTTTACCAAATACTTGAGGCATCTAGTTCAAATACTTTCTGGGACCAATGTGCTCCTAGAATATAAACCAAACGGTAATTGTATGTTGGTAATTGGAACCAAAATTAAAAAAACGATCCAAATCTGCAGGTCCCTAGTCATGAAAAGAAACTCTAAATATCATTACTTATTATGGTTCTTAAGAGTGTCTCATTCAAACACTTCTGCAGAATATACATTATACAAAGATCCTCTACTGTGTAGGAAAAAATAACTATAATTTTCAAATAGCTGAAAGGCAAATGCACATTTAGAAAGCAATTGAGACGATCATTTTCTTAAGACAACAGATGAAGAAGTAGAGCTAACTTAAGGGTATCCAGTATCTATTACTTCTATCTTAAAGACACACTTAACACCACATTACCGATTAGTGACGAGATGTGATGGAAAAAATGAATAAAAGTCATTTTTCACTCTCAATCACAATTACCGATATATCAATTACAACCGACCATTCGATTATTACTAATCGATTCAACAGTAGAGCGAACACAGAAACTACTAACTTATGCAGTAACCGAAATCCGACGTAAAACGATCAATCTCGGGGAAAGAACTAGAAGGATAATGGACTAACTTGTACAACCCCAAGAAATAGGGAACAAAAATAAAACACTCAAAGCCAATGAACAAAACAAAAAACTATAATTCGCACAACGAGAGAAGTTCCCAACATCTGTTATCACTTCAAAATCTTGACAAAGAGAAAAATTTTAAAAATCAACGATAAGAAAATGATGGATTGGAAGCAAGGCACGACGGAGATGCGAGTCTGAAAAAGAAATCGAGAGTAAACCGATTGAGATATGAAAAGAATCTTATCCGGAGAAAAAGATGAAAATCGATTGAACAAAAATGCAGGAACATATGAAAATTAGATCTGAATATAGTGGAAGGATAATGAAGTGTATGCATAGATCTCAGCAAGAAGAAGAGGAGGGAAGAGAAGAGAAGAAACCTTGCCGGGAAGTAGGGAGCCGAACGGGGGGATTTTTCCCTTTCCATTTCCGCATACAGCTTTATATGAAAATTATTAAAACATGGATGTTTATTCATTCATTCAAATAACATTGTTCTCCATGAATTTTTTTTTTCTAAAGAGAATTATACAAAATTGAAAGACGCAGAATTATCTGATACATTAATTTAATTTATTGTTTCTCTAATTTTAATTTGACATTAAAAAAGTGTAATAATCTGATTTGTAATATTGTCCAGGATAATAATACTGGCCAAGTCATGGACCACCAGCGTTGGTGGCGGCGCCGGCGTCGGAGACGGTTATGAAGGGGGAACGGGAAGAGGAGAGAGAGGAGAGAGAGGAGAGAGAGGAGAGAGAGAAGAGAGTTCCATTTCCAAGCTTGCCTCATAATAATAGAGTACAGTGCTTTAGAATTAAATTCTTATAAAATAGAAAATAAAAGAATAGTGCTGTTGACCCCAAAGCCTTGGTAAGATGTTGAAGAAGGTCAGGTCATAATTCTTGAAAGTTTAGGGCCACAATCGTAAATTCCAAGTCTATATTTACGGATTGAACCAATCTTTTTATGCTATTGGCATTAGAAAATAAAATAAAATAAAATAAAACACGCGGAATAATTAAATTATTATTAAATAAGAGGGGCTTCATTTTCATAAACGGCGTCGCCAACAACTCCCCAGTATCGTACTGGGTTGGTGGGATCCGACGGCGAGCCAAGCATTTGTGACGTGGCGCCTGTCCATATCTTCATCGGAATAAGCGGCTGGTTTCCATGTCACCCTGCCTGCCAATAACGAATATAGACCACACGGCTTGGTTGCCACTTTATGCATATTCTGCTTCTAATACTAATTTATTGGGACATTCCTCGAAAAGAAAAAAACTACTTAAATCAGTATATATACATTTCATAAATAAATAAATTTAAACTCATTATTACATATATATTGTTGAACTTATGGAGGTGAAAAACAATATTAGAGCTAAGGTTGCTATTTACATTTTAGGATTTAAAAGAACAATAGCCATTAACTCAAAAAATGGACAGCCACACGAAAGTGTTTAGAGGTTGATGTTAGCAATTCGACAAGAAGTGGTCGGAAATTTTGGGAAAAAGAAAAGAGAGATGACAATGATCCGGAGACAAGGGGAATGAACATCACAAAATCTAACTCTAGGTTACCCGTGTACTTCTCACGTATACTTTTAACCATGGTCAAGTTACACCCTGCTTAATTAACTGCTAAAGCTGTGCTCCTGAACCCTTTAAAATGGGATCCCCCACAACTCCCATTTCGCACTCTCATCCGCTCTGTATCTCCACACTTTGCATGATCCAAGCATTCACCTAAACTTCTGTACCTGTACATTTCTCTTATTCATATTCCCTCTGTCTAAACAACTATTCCGATTCCGATGGCCGATTCCAAGATAAAGAACGGGAACGGAGTTGCCAACGGATCTTCCACGCAAGTTCAGACGTCGCCGAAGCATGGAAACGGAATCTGCCACGACGGCAGCTCGTCGCCTATCAAGGCCCAAACCATCGATGAGCTTCATAGCCTGCAGAAGAAGCGATCCACGCCCACTACACCGACCGGCTCCTCTCCCTCGGCTTTCTCTGCTCTTTCAGAAGAAGATCGCCAGAGGCAGCAGCTCCAGTCAATCAGGTACAACACATGCAACCAAAAAGAAACCACCGAAATACGGCTTCGTTTTTTTTTTTTTTTTTTTTTAATAATTAAATTTTACATTTTTGTTTTAAATATAAGATTTGTTTGGGTGGAAATCGTGATTCAGTGCATCGTTAGCATCATTGACGAGAGAAACTGGGCCAAAAGTGGTGAAAGGAGACCCGGCTCGAAAAACTCCAACTTCGAAGATTGCACACGTGGCGCACCACCAATTCGCACCCACCATCAACATCAGCGACAGCTCATTGAAATTCACACACGTCCTCTACAATCTCTCCCCTGCAGGTCCAAAGAAAACATAAATTCCATGTTTAATCTAATTATATTTGATCATCTTTTAGCTGAATGTAGACGGCGTCGTTTTGCAGAGTTGTACGAGCAGGCCATAAGGTGCGAGAGGGGCTCGTTTTTTACATCCACAGGAGCATTGGCCACGCTTTCCGGAGCCAAGACCGGACGGTCTCCAAGAGACAAGCGAATTGTTAAGGATGCGAATACCGAGAAAGAGCTCTGGTGGGGAAAGTAAGCGTCGTCCTTCTTCAAACCACGCCGTCTTCCACAGTTTTGTGTTTACTTCATTCGATCATTGTTAATAGTCTCTGCCTTTTTGTTTTGGACTGCAGGGGATCTCCAAACATTGAAATGGATGAGCACACTTTCACGATCAACAGAGAAAGAGCCGTGGATTACTTGAACTCTCTGGACAAGGTCTTCGTCAACGACCAATTCTTGAATTGGGATCCCCAGAACAAACTCAAAGTCCGAATTGTCTCTGCCAGGGCTTACCACTCATTGTTCATGCATAACATGTAAGTAACAGAAAAATACTTGTGCCTTTTAAAACGGCGGGTAAGTTAAATTGATGGGTTCTGTTTTGGTAGGTGCATCCGACCAACGGAGGAAGAGTTGGAGAATTTTGGGACGCCGGATTTCACAATATACAATGCCGGACAGTTCCCGTGCAACCGTTTCACTCATTACATGACATCTTCAACTAGCATAGATATGAATCTGGCCAGGAGGGAAATGGTGATCCTTGGAACCCAATACGCGGGTGAGATGAAGAAGGGGCTGTTCAGTCTTATGCACTATCTCATGCCCAAGCGACAGATTCTCTCCTTGCATTCTGGCTGCAACATGGGAAAAGATGGCGACGTCGCCCTCTTCTTTGGATTATCAGGTGTGCCAACATCTGTTTTTGACAAATTTAATATTATACTGTTTCTTAAAATTATTCATTTTCTTTTAGGTACCGGAAAAACTACTTTATCCACCGATCACAACCGTTATTTGATTGGAGACGATGAGCATTGTTGGGGCGACAATGGTGTCTCAAATATCGAAGGAGGTTGCTATGCTAAGTGCATTGACCTTTCTCGAGAAAAAGAGCCTGATATTTGGAACGCCATCAAATTTGGAACTGGTAATAGCAATAACAACTCTCCTTCTTCTCGTGACTTTTGTGTAAGATTATTTATTGAAATGATTTGTTTGGTTTGATAGTGTTAGAAAATGTAGTGTTCGATGAGCAAACCAGAGAAGTGGACTATTCGGACAATTCAGTTACAGGTATTAATTAATTAAAATAGCGATTATAAACCTAATCAATTATCATAATTGATATATATATATATATATATATTTTTTGTTTTTAATGACACAGAGAATACTCGAGCGGCGTACCCAATCGAGTACATACCGAACGCTAAGATACCATGCGTGGGGCCACACCCAAAGAACGTTATATTATTGGCTTGTGACGCATTTGGGGTGCTTCCACCAGTGAGCAAGCTCAATTTGGCTCAAACCATGTACCATTTCATCAGTGGATATACTGCATTGGTAAAAATAAGAAATAAACTTTTTAAATTGTAAGTAAATTACTTTGTTGGACGAAGGCTGATTCCAAAATTGAAATTGTAGGTGGCTGGAACCGAAGACGGTATAAAAGAGCCACAAGCGACATTCTCGGCTTGCTTTGGTGCGGCTTTCATTATGTTACATCCCACAAAGTACGCTGCCATGCTTGCCCAAAAGATGCAGAAGCACGGTGCCACCGGCTGGCTAGTCAACACCGGCTGGTCCGGCGGCCGATATGGCTCCGGTAGCCGTATTAAGCTTTCTTACACTAGAAAAATCATCGACGCCATTCATTCCGGCGAGCTTCTCAAAGCGAATTACCGTAAAACCAAAGTATTTGGCCTCGAAATCCCCACCGCCATTGAAGGAGTTCCCTCCGAGATTTTGGACCCAATAAGCACGGTAAGAAAAGTGATATTATAATCTATACCATCTAGTAATTAAAAACTTTCTTCCAATTAGTCGTTGATCTTGATTTTGGGGTATTTTTTTTTTTTTTTGCAGTGGTCGAACAGAGATGCGTACAATGAAACGCTGCTGAAACTGGCTACTCTTTTCAAGAACAACTTCGAGACATTTACCAACTACAAGATTGGTGAAGACAATACTCTGGCTGAGCAAATCCTTGCTGCTGGTCCCATTTTTTAACCCAACAAAAAGGGGTTTACAGTAGACCAAAATGATTCGCCTCTATTATTGTGTTTTTTTTTCCTTCTCTTTCCATTTGGTTTAATGCATTGTCATGTAAAGACCACAGTTCCACATATTTAATACAAGTTTATGTACTGCAAATTTTGAAGAATTCTTGTCTTTTTTAGCTTCTTTTTCTTGTCTTCATTACAATTCACACTTAATTAAACAAAGTTCTTTAATAAATAGATTGGATGTTGTGTGTTTATGTGAGATCTCATGTCGGTAAGGAGAGAGAAACGGAGCATTTCTTATAGCGGTGTGAAAATCTATTTCTAATTTTGTATTTTAAAAACTTCCAGAGATTCTAATTTTATATTTTAAAAACTTCCAGAGAAGACCCAAAAGGAAAAGTTCAAAGATGCAATAGGCTTGAATTGTTACAAACGATATCAGAATTGGACACCAAAGAATATACTAGTAAGAAAGTTGGCTCTCAAAAGTCATTCTTTATAAGTCTTTCTCCCCAAGTTTTAAAATAGGTAAAATATATGTTTTTAATAGAAACATCTAATCTAATAATTGTATTAAAAAAATCAAATAATATAATGAATAAACCCATATAATTTTCAAAGAATTGAGGTAATTAATCTCTCTCTTAAATCAATAATACAAGTAATTAATTAACTTAATGGAAGAAGCTCAATTTTTTTTATTTATCTTTTAGAATCTCTAGCGGCTTAATAAAGTTAATTGTTTGTTGATAAGAAGCTCAATTTATATACATGAAGATAAAATAAGTGACAAGAAGACGTTGAGTTGTGACAATAATTGTTCTTTACGAGAATCATAACATGATTGTTCTTTAATCAAAGCACTTTTGCCTTTAAATCCTATCTTGTTCCTCAATCATTCTCCTAAAAATGGGTTGAATTTCTTTAATTCAACTACTTATAAATTTGAGACATAATCAACTTATTGATCATAAGATACCTAAGATATAATCAGATGAAACCCGTATTTCTCCTTATTTACATATTTTCTATGGGGCAGCACATAATGAAGAAGCATTCTCCATCCCTATCTATGCCACCTATTACATTTTCAAATCCCAATGTTTGTTGAATTGAATTTTTAGTAATTTTTCTATGGTTTATTATTCATTAAAAAAAATTTAAAAATAGTTATTTTGAAAGTTTTTATTTAAAAATATATTTATTATTTTTTTAAAAATAAATTAATATGTTTTATAAGTAAAGAGCACGTTCTATCTAACATAATTTCAGTTACAATTAAGGTCTCAAAATTAACTAAATTATTTTTAATATAGAAAAAAGAAAACATGGATATTAATTTGTCTCCGATCTTATTTATCTAATGAGTAAAAAATGTTTCCCACTCCTCCCTCTTCCCATCTTTAGATGATCTCCGCATGACCCCGTCCTGCAAATAAATGGACATGGCCCCGACCCAAAAAAAAAAAAAAAAAAAAACACTCTCAATT